GAGTGAGGGGTTAGGCAGGCAACAAGGCTGCAGGGCCTTTGAGGCCTGTTGGCTACATTCAAATCATTCAAGTGTGTCAAGATATTTGATTTTCCAAAATCTCACTCTGACCTTGTTGTGGAATTGAAGAGAATACCAAAAAGAACAAAAGTGACATCTGAATCAAGATTTTGTCTCTGTTCTCTCTGCTTAGAACAGAGCCTGGCACAAAGCAGGTAATCAGTGAATGTTTGCTGGAGGAGTAACTGAGGAAGAAGGGACTTCTAGGACTCCAGGGAAGAACACTGTCAGTGGGGGAGAGCTGGCAGGAGGCCTGTGAGGGAAGGAGGCATAGGACTCAGGACAGGTTAATGAAGTGAGGACATAGGCCTCTAGCTTCTCCAAGCAGCTCCCACTCCTCTCTTTTCTTCACCCTGCCCCATATCTGCTCCTACTCCTCTTTCCTCTGAGCTCTTCATTAAAACATGGATGGGCGTTAAAATTTGCAACTTTCCCTGGCTCATGTGTTCCTAAAGCAAGACAAAACCCTCTGAAGTTCTTGAAGATTATTTTTATTGTCAGTAAAAAATGAAAAACAGGATTTTATGTGTGTGTGTGTGTGTGTGTGTGTGTGTGTGTGTGTGTGGTGGGGGGCGAGGTGGGTTGTATTTCAGCCTACCCCTCCCCACACCCTGGCATATTCAAAAGACTGTGATAAGATTTCTCCCCACTGCAAGAGAAAGCTTGTCTCTGCACTTAAAAAAAATTTTTTTATTGATTTATTTTAAATATTTTAGAGAGAAAGAGGAAGAGAGAGGTAAAAAGTTAGAAACATCGATCTGCTGCTCCTGCATACCGCCTACTGGGATATGTGCCCTGGCCAGGAATCAAACCAGCAACCTCTTGGTGCATGGGTCCACGCTCAACCACTGAGCCACAATGACAGGACATGTTTCTGCACTTTTAATAATGATATTTGTTTTTAATAATTCTTTAGTGTGGAAAGTATTACCTATGTCTCCTTTTCTCCCCCATTGTTAATTATGATATTAATTAACACCTGTTTGCCAGACATCGTCCTCTTCTTAAAAATGATTGAAAAAAAATGATTGTAAAAGTATCACCCTTTTGCAGAACTATGGAAAATACAACAGCAACCTCCGCTGTTAACATGTTGCTTCCAATTTCCCTCATGCACTTTATATGAAAACTAAACAGCATTCTTCTGTTTATATGTATTTACTGTAATTACTGATTTAGCTAGTTGTTAACATTCTCATCTCTTGTGTGCTTTCTGTTTCCAATCCTATTTTGTTGCTTTCCCCCAGTTTTATTTCTTATCTTCAATTGGACTGAAGAAGTTTTATTTTCTTGACTGCTACATGGTTTCCATAAAACCTGTTTAATGGTTTCATAGATGCCTCTAGTTGCTCTTATTTTTACCTCAGCTCTCAGTTCAAAACTATAACTTAAGATGGCATTTTAAAGTTTCTGGCTGTGGTAACAGTGGGAACACCATAGATCTAGCCACTAGGCCAGAGGCAGCTTAGTTCCAGGTCAGGGAACTTCTGTGTGCCTGCTAGTTTCTGTTAGATGTGACAATTCTAAGAGTTGATCAATACAATTTCTAAAAAAATATGTTTTTATTGATTTTAGAGAGAGAGGAAGGGGGGGAGGGATAGAGAGAAACATCAATGATGAGAATCAGTGATTGGCTGCCTGCTGACACCCCTTCCTGGGGATCAAACCTATAACCCAGGCATGTGCCCTGACATGGAATCGACCTCTTAGTTCACAGGTTGAAGCTCAACCACTGAGCAACACCAGCTGGGTGGTCAATCCAATTTTTTTTTGTTTCATTTATTGGGGGCTGGGTAAGATGGAGGTTTGAGCCTGAAGTTGTCTGTTGGTTTTCTATTTTTTTAATTTACATTTAGTACTGCTGTGTTTTTAGAGCAGAGTGGGTGCATAAAAGTTGACCTGAAGTTCTATAGCTTCCTTATCACCTTACTCACTTCTACATTCCAGTTCAGGCCACCATCACAATAAAGTTCTGAGGTGTTAAACCATAGTTTGTGGCACTTTGTTATGAAAGTCCTATCCTGGAAGCTATCCATTGTCAACACTATCATGAAAATGCAACAAGAAACTTGGAAGACTGATGAACCTTGAGCTTTGGCAAGGCCAAAGCTATACACCAAGTGTTCTGTCAAGATAATGGTGGCTCAAGCAATTTCCAGACCTAACAGTCTCAAAGTAAATCTTTACTAATATTTACTGATCTTTAAGATAGTCTGTCTGGGAGGGGGGGAATGTTAAAATATGTACACAGATAATAATTTAATTAAAAAATTTAAAAAATTAAAAAAAATAAGATAGTCTGTCTGCCTCCAGATTGCCTGCCTGCCTGAGGGCAAGATGTGCATTTTAAAATTGAATAAAAGCAAACAGGACTAGGGCTTCTGGAAGCCTCTCCCCTAGAGAAAGGTTTTTGCCTGGCCTCCATGCCTTCTAAATTCATATTTCTTGTCTAGTGTCTACATTTTTGTGTGGCCCCTTTTCCAGATCCTGAATCCTCACTCCAAAAGTTTGTGGCAGCCCTAGCAAATAATAGATGTGCTACAAGCAAAATGGCATAATAGAAAGAAATCATGGCCAGCTGATGTGATTAAGTAAGACTTCTAGCCTGGCCGGTGATGCTCAGTGTCAACCCATGAACCAGGAAGTCGAGGTTTAATTCCCATACAGGACACATGCCTGGGTTGTGGGCTTGATCTCCAATAAGCGGTGTGCAGAAAGCAGGCAATCACTCAATGATTTTCTCTCATTGATGATGTTTCTATCCTTCTCTCCCTCTCCCTTCTCCTCTCTGAAATTAATAAAAACTTAAAAAAAAATACCTCTAGAGGACATGGAATTTTTGCTGGTCTGTAGAGATGACAGGAGGGGAAAAGTCTTTAAGTTATCGTCTTCTATGTCAACAATCCAAACTTCATTTAAAAGCAGGATCTCTTGAAAACAAGCTGAATTTGATTCACTTTAATGCCTTAAGACTTCAGTCAACTTTGACAACAACATGACTTTCAAGGTATAAAATCTGGGAGAAAATATTTTATACACCCACCAGTATTTATAGCGCTAGAAATATTATTTGCTTTTATAAATTTATATCACAATAAAAAGGGAGAAGTAGCCGAAACTGGTTTGGCTCAGTGGATAGAGCTTCGGCCTGCGGACTGAAAGGTCCCGGGTTCGATTCCAGTCAGAGGTATGTACCCTGGTTGCGGGCGCATCCCCAGTAGGGGGTGTGCAAGAGGCAGCTGATCGATGATTCTCTCTCATCGATGTTTCTAACTCTCTATCCCTCTCTCTTCCTCTCTGTAAAATATCAATAAAATATATTTTTTTAAAAAAGAAAAAAAAGAAAATGTTTCTGATGTGATTTTTTTTTAAAGGGAGAAGAATGTTTCATAAAAACCTTGTAACCCACCCTGTATCTTTTAAAAGTGTTTTTTTTTTTTAAAGATGTATTGTTAACTAATATATAACCGATGATAAGCTGTATATTTGTGGTAAAGTTCCAGGAACTAGCTGTTGGGGAAGGGGGCTGATCCCAGCAACCAGATATTCTGGCTCCAGGAGAATTGCTGATTCTCAAGCATAAAAACCTGACCTTTGCTGCCCTGAATGGGTGGCTCAGTCGGTTGAAGTGTAGTCCCATGCACTGAGAGGTTGTCAATTGGATTTCTGATGAGGGCACATACCTAGGTTTTGGGATCAATCCCTCAGTCGGGGTGCATATGGGAGGTGGCCCATTGATGTTTCTCTTCCTCTCTCTGCTCTCCTCCCTCTCTAAAATCAAATTTAAAACAAGATCTTCAGGTGAGGATTAAAAAAGAAAGTTAAGCCCTATCTGGTATGGATAAGTTGGTCTTATGGTTTGGTTTCCAGTCAGGGCACATGCCCAGGTTGCAGGTTTCATCCCGTCAGGATGCATTCATGAGGCAACTGATGGATGTTCCTTTTCCTTTCTTTCCTCTCCCTTCTCTCTCTCTAAAATAAATAAAAACTTTTTTTTAAGTTAAAAAAAAATAAACCAGACCTATGCTTGACCAATTTCAAGATAATCATTGGCATGGACTATGCTGTCTTACACATAGAGAACTTTCAAACACCCTCCTACCTCGTTTCTCTGTTCTGCTTTCCCTCTCTCTCCTCTTAATAAAACCCCCTGCCTTCCTGAGATGTTAAGATGGGCACTTTCTCAGTTTGCTGGCATTTGAATAAACTACTTTCTTTCTTACCAGCACCTGTCTCATGAGTTTGGCTTTCCTGGTGGCAGGCAGCTGAACCTGGGTTCAGTTAGTTTTACTGAGCAGCAGCTAACTAAAATCCTAGTCTAACCAAATTTGACTTGATAGCAGCAGGAAATGCAGTTTGGAATTACTTGTGTTATATCTTCACAGTGCTGCGTTACTCCAGTTGTAAATAAAGACTCAAAATTTCAGTAGTTCCTTGGGGGTCAGGAAGAGAGGCTGTTGCTCCCTATCTCACAACTCAGTCTTCAGTTTGTGTTTCAAATCAAACTGACGGATTCTATAGGGCTCCCATCCTAAATCACAGGCATCTACTAAGTCCATCTTCAAAAACTGGAACACAAAGCAGATATTTTCAAAGTTCACCGTTCTTAATCAGAGCTCCTCCAGGGAGGAGCCTTGCAACAACTTATGTCCTGCCGTGCACCTGGTTGGGTGGGCATGGTCTGGTCCTGCTTGAAAAGGGGCTCCAGGAGAGTAATGTGTACACAGAACAGCCCATAGTTCAGCTCTCCGTCAAGGAAGTGCTTCTGCCTCAGCGCTTCCCCAGGCAGGTTCCTCCCTCCTTTCCTTCCAGGGCCTCCTCCGCCCAACACGACCCGCCCCGCCCGCCAAGCCCCGCCCCGGGGCGGAGTCGCTCCTAGCCCCGCCCCCACGGCCCCTTTGCGGCCCCAATAGACCCGCCCAGGGTGAGGCGACACGGCATTAGGGGCGGGGCCGCGCCCCTCTCGGCCGCCGTGCCGCCGCCGCCCCAAAAATGGCGCCGGGCCGCTTCTGGCGCTGCTGCCTACGCGGCGCAGGCTGGGTGCCGGTGCTGTTCATCACTTTCGTGGCGGCGTGGTCCTACTACGCGTATGTGGTGGAGCTGTGCCTGTGTGAGTGCCGGGCGGGCGGGCGGGACCGGCCCTCTGCGGCGCCGTGGGGTGGGCGCTCGCTCTGAAGGCTCCGCGGCGGAGCGCCGGCGGAAGTGTGTGGCCGGCTCCGCGTCTGTGACGCCCGCCCGCCCGCCGCCGGGGGGAACCGGGCCGGGCCGGCGGCTGTGCCGGCCGGAGCCGCGGGTCGGCGGCCGGGGGGCGGGCCGCGGTGTCGCTCCGCCGGGGACAACCGCCGCGGGCGCGGCGCGGCCACCTCCAGCCTCCCGCGCTGCCCGCGGCTGGAAGTTCATTATTTCAAGTCAGAGTCAGTAACTCGCACACAATGCTGCTTTTAGACAAAGAGTGAGATGGTGGCCTTTTTCGCCGCTGTTTTCTAACGGAGGTTTCGCTCATCCCTCAGATGCTGAGATCTCCTTTTATTGTCCTTAGCTGTTTCCCTCGTTAGTTCTGACCCGATTCCCTGGAAAACGGAAGGAACATCCCAGGACACTTCAAAGATTTAAGATACTGGCTTGGTTAGGTTGTTCTTAAGATGGAAGGAAACTGGCCGTCTACCAAAACAGTGTTCTGGGATATTGTTTGATTGCTCTGTCCTAACGGAATAGATCTGCTCCAGACTGGCCGGTCCGTCCGCCGCGGTCACCTCCGTGAAAACGGAGCCACGCCGCGTGGGTGCTTTCCGCGCTGTCCACAGGGCCGCTATTATATATACTTTTAAAAGGGCACAGGACATAGAAACGGATTGTGTGAGTGGAAAGCTGTACCACCCGCTCCGCTTGAAGGTTGCCGCAACCAGGGCTTCCCCAGTTACGGCTGCGGATTTGTTCAGCTCTCAAATAAGTACTTGGCGAAACCCGAGTTCTGCGCGTGGGAGAGAATGCTTTCCCTCTGAATGCGTAGAGATAGGTTTTTAAATGAAAGTATCCACCTTTAAGAAAAGTATTTTGTACTCTGGAATATTTAATTCCGAGGGAAACAGAACCAGAATAACTTAGTTGTGGAATACATTTTCAAATAATAATCTGCTGAATATTATTCAATCTCGTCTTTTTGGATACCAGAATGATTTTTGAATCAATTAAGTTTGGCTAGAGTTAGGTATTTTTTGAGGCTACTTCCAGTAGGTGATAGTGATCATAGGGTTCTCATCAGCTTATGACGATACTTTTTATCTTATTGACTCTGAAGTGGGCATTTATTACAAAAGTTGTACCTGTCTTTTTCTGTCAGAAGATTGTCCCCACTCTGTTTTAATCTCATACTGGTTTTGAAGTAAAGCCTGTGACGGAACACTAAAAATGTGCATTTATGTTGACATTGCACATTTAATCTATCAAAAGATGACATCAAACAAAGAAAGGAAAGTGAACATGAATTAAGAAGTGCTGTGTGCACTAATGGGAAAGAGGGGGGGGCATTTCATCATTCTTCCCTTAGTATGCCACAGATGTAAGAAATGAGACTGAGCAAATAGGCTCTTTGGTAGGTCACACAATTGTTGAGTGGGTATTAGAATGTGCCATATCTTTTTTTTTTTTTTAAGTTTTTGTTCATATTATTACAAATGTTCCCCCCCACCACCATTGCTCTCCTCCACCAGGTTCCCACCCCACCCTCTGCCCTTTCCCCACTCCCCATTGTCCTCATCCATAGGTGCACAGTTTATGTTCAGTCTCTTCCCACATCCCCCTCTCCCCTTTTCCCCAAGAATCGTCAGTTCACTCCCCTTCCATACCTCTGATTCTATTATATTCAACAGTTACTATTGTTCATCAGGTTTTGGTTTTTTTTTAATTTCCTTGGTTTTTAGATTCACTTGTTGATAGTTACGTATTTGTTGTTCATAATTTTTATCTTTGTTTACTTTCTCTTCTGAATATAATTCTGGTTTGGTGTTGATGAACTCCTTTAGCTTTTTTTTTATTAGTGAAGCTCTTTATCTGGCCTTTGATTCTGAGTGATAGCTTTGCTGGATAGGTTATCTTTGGCTGTAGGTTTTTACTATTCATCACCTTGAATATTTCTTGCCATTCCCTTCTGGCCTGCATGGTTTCTGTTGAGAAGTCAGCTGACAATCGTATAGGTGCTCCTTTATAGGTAACTACCTGCTTTGCTCTTGCTTCTTTTAATATTCTCTCTTTGTCTTTTGCTCTTGGAATTTTAATTATGATGTGTCTTGGTGTGGTCCTCTTTGGATTCCTTTTGTTTGGAGTTCTGTGCGCTTCCTGGTCTTGTAAGTCTAATTCTTTCACCAGGTGGGAGAAGTTTTCTGTCACTATTTCTGTCAAAATGTTTTCGGTATCTTGCTTTTTCTCTTCTTCTGGGACCCCCATAATTCTGATGTTGGTTCGCTTGAAGTTGTCTCAGAGGTTTCTTACATTATCTTCAATTTTCTGGATTCTCTTGCCTTCTAGCTTCTGTGGAGGAGTGTCTTCTGGCTCTTTATGTTCCAAATCTTTGACCTGATTCTTGCGATCTTCCCTTCTGTTTTTAGGACTCTGTAAAATATTTTTTATTTCAGACAATGTATTCTTTATTTCTTGTTGATCCCTTATCATTTCTTGATGGCTCCTTATTAATTCTAGTTGGTCTCTTTTCATATCCTCATAGGTCTTATCCATCTTTTCTAGGAAATTCTTGAAAAACCTTATAAGCGTAGATTTGAACTCTATATCCAGACGCTTTTTGTCCTCCAGTTCTTTCATTTGTGATCTATTTTGTTGTCACATTTCGCAGTTGCAGATGGGACGGGGTTTCAGGGTGGAGCCTGCAGCTTTGGCTTCTGTCAGCCCCGCCCTATGCGGGTCCTTCAGTGCTCGCTGCCGGCGCCTCTGAGAGAAAGGTGCCCTCGATTTTCTCCTGCTGCCAAACAGTCTATGCTCTCCCACAATGAGCCCGGTATTGGGGTTCAGTTCAGTTGGAAGTGGAGTTGGAGGTGGCCTTCAGAGCAGACTGGAGCCCCTGTCTCCTTCCGGCCAGGGCAATCCTGCTGCACAATGTGCGCGCCGCCGGGACCTCCTCTCTCCGCTCCCCCAGGGGTTCCGCCTTACAACCCAGCTCCCTATGGCTGAGCCTGAGTCCCTGGGGTCTGGCCTAGAACTGGGGTTCAGAGCAGTCGGGGCCCAGCACAGTCGGAGTTTTATCTCCTTCCCGCTAGGGAACGCCCGCCGGGCACTCGGCCTCCCTCCTCTCCGGCTCCGTCCTCTCCCCGCACCGCGTCTCAGTACCTTGGGCTTTTCCAGCTCCTCCGCGCCTCCTTCTGGTTTTCTCCTTGCTTCTCGCTGTAGAATTTCCAGTCAGTCAACTTTCCTGTAGTTCTGGGTAATGTCCGTTTTATATTTTAGTTGTATTTTATTGAAATTGTTGTGTGCGGCTGTGGCTAGGTGTTTACCTGGGCACAGCCATCTTGGATCCTCAGAATGTGCCATATCTTTCTATTTTACATATAATTTTTAGTGAGTCATGAGCATATTTTGAAATACTGATGGTGAAAGGTCTTACATAGTGCCTGTATTTAATACTTCTAAGTTATCTGAGTGAGAGTAGGAAGAATTTGGGAAGTCTGCTGGACTTGAGCATAAAAACTCATTCAGTCTCATATTTAAACTCTTCTTTAAATTATTCATTTATATTTGTTTTTATAAGCACAAACCTTCCCACTGAAATACATTAATATATAACTTTATTTTTTTCATTAATATATAATTAAATTGAGAGAAGTATCTTAATGTGCAATTTTTATAAAATTTTCTTAGCTTCTGGTATTCTTTTTTAAAAAAAATATGTTTTGCCGAGACCAGTTTGGCTCAATGGATAGAGCGTCGGCTTGGGGACTGAAAGGTCCCGGGTTCGATTCCGGTCAAGGGCATGTACCTTGGTTGCGGGCACATCCCCAGTAGGGGGTGTGCAAGAGGCAGCTGGTCGAAGACTCTCTCTTTCATCGATGTTTCTAGCTCTCTATCTCTCTCCCTTCCTCTCTGTACAAAATCAATAAAATATATTTAAAAAATAAAATAAAATTAAAAAATGTTTTATTGAATTTTTTACAGAGAGGAAGAGAGAGGGATAGGAAGCTGGAAACATCGATGAGAGAGAAACATCGATCAGCTGCCTCCTGCACACCCCCTATTGGGGATGTACCCGCAACCAAGGTACATGCCCTTGGCTGCAATCAAACCTAGGACCTTTCAGTCCGCAGGCCAACGCTCTATCTACTGAGCCAAACCGGTTTCGGCAGCTTCTTGTATTCTTTATCGAACTCTATGGGAAAGGATGATAATAATTATCTTTTCATGTGTTAATTTACTTAATGCTCATAATAATCTCCATAAAATAGGCCCTGGCTAAGTAACTCAGTTGGTTGGAGCATCCCTGATGCACCACAGTTATGGGCTCAGTCTCCAGTCAGGGTACATACAAAAGTCAGCTAGTGAATGCATACATGAATGGAACAACAAATCTGTGTTCCCTTTCTCTCTCTTTCTCTCTCCCTTTCTTCCTCTTCTCTCTCTAAAATCAATAAAAATAAACTAACTACTATGCAAGACTAGTCTACTTGTTTATCCAGACCTGGACAGTCAAGGCGCATTTCAGTATTATTTATGATCCATTTGTATAAGGCAGTGATTTTCAACCAGTGTGGGCAAGGCACACTGGTGTGCTGCAAGAATTTTTAAAACATACAGTACCTTGGCCTCGCTGGTTTGGCTCAATGGATAGAGCGTCAGCCTGGGGATTGAAGGGTCCCAGGTTCGATTCCTTTCAAGGGCACATGCCCTGGTTGCGGGCTTGGTCCCCACTATGGGTGGGCAGAAGGCAGCCCACCAATGATTCTCATCATTGATGTCCGCCCCCCTCCCCTTCACCCACCTCTTCCTCTCTGAAACCAATAAAAATCATACAGTACCTATTTAGTCAGGAGCACTGACCTCTTTTCTCTTAGATTGTCAAATTAAAAAAATGACAACAGCCAACGTAACAGCCATCTGATGCCCTGGCCTGTGTGGTTCAGTTGTTGCAGTGTCAGTCCTTAGACAGGAGGGTTGAGTTCCCAGTTAAGGGCACATACCTGGGTATGGGTTCGTTCCCCAGCCCTGCTCGGGGCACATGCAGGACGCAACCAGTGGATGTGTCTCTCACATCGATGTTTCTCTTTCTGTCTCTCCTACTCCTTTCCATTCTCTCTAAAAATCAATGGAAAAATATCCTTGGATAAGGATTAACAAAAGTACAAATATATTTAGGATTGTTGTGTCCTCTTGATGAATTGACCTTTTATCATGGTGAAATCACCACCAACTTCTCTCCCCTGAGGCCTGGTCACCCCAAACTGCCCTACCCTGTTGGCCTGGTTGCCCCCAACTTCTCTCCCCTGCCGACCTGGTCACCCCCAACTGCCCTCCTCTGCTGGCCTGTTCACCCCTAACTACCCTCCCCTGCTGTCCTGATCACCCACAACTGTCCTACCCTGCTGGCCATCTTGTGTCGGCCATCTTGTGTTTTGGAGTGACAGTCAATTTGCATATCACTCATTTATTAGATAGGCTAGTTACCGTGTTGTACAATAATCTCTGCCTTTTTAGCTGAGGTGTTTCGACTATTTACATTTAATGTGATTATTGATATGGTTAAGTTTAAGTCTTCTCATTTGTTATTTTTTAATCAGTCCTATCTGTTCTTCCTTCTGCCTTGTTTTGAATTAATTAATCAACTTTTAAATGATTAAAAATTTCTGAATTATTCTTATGATTTTCTCTTCTTTGTTGGCTTATTAGCTGTAACAGTTATTTTAGTGATTGCTTAAAGATTTATAGCTTATATCTTTTAACTTATAGTGTATATTCAAGTGAACCTTATAAAAGCATTCCTTCATGTCTTCCCTCCAAGCCTTTATGCTATTGTTGTTGTACATTTTATGTTGCAAAACTCACACTATAGCCCTAGCCGGTTTGGCTCAGTGAACAGAGTGTCGGCCTGCAGCCTGAAAAGTCCCAGGTTTGATTCCAGTCAAGGGCACATGCTCAGATTTCCGGCTCCATCCCCAGGGGGGGGGCATGTGGGAGGAGGCAGTCAATCAATGATTCTCTCTCATCACTGATGTTTCTATATCTCTCCCTCTCCCTTTCTTTCTGAAATCAATAAAAATATGTTTAAAAAAAAAACCAAACACACTATATTGCTATTATTTTGTTTAAATAGCTTATTATTTTTTAAAGATTTAAATAATAAGAGTTTAGTTACCATTGTAGTTACCATTTCTAGTGTTCTTCCTTCTTATTTATTTAGTATTAATTAGAGAAAGGAAACATCAGTTTGTTATTCCAGTTATTTATGTATTCATTGGTTGATTCTTGTATGTGTCCTGACTGGAAATCGAACCCGCAGCCTTGATGTATTGGAACAACACTAACAAACTAAGCTACCCAGCCAGGGCTCTGCTCTTCTCTCACACTCTCTCTCTCTCTCTCTCTCTCTCTCTCTCTCTCTCTCTCTCCACCTCTTTCTCTCTTTTTAAAATCCTCACCTGAGGATATTTTTCCACATTGTGTTTTAGAGAGAGAAGAAGAGAGGGAGGGAGGAGGAGAGGGAGAGAGAAACATTAATGTGAGAGAAACATATCAATTAATTGCCTCCTGCACTTACCTCAGCCAGGGCAGGGCTTGAAACTGCAACCTAAGTACATGCCCTTGACTGGATTCAAACACAAGACCCTTTAGTGGGCAGGCCAGTGCCCTAACCACTGTACAACACCAGCCAGGGCCAGCCTAGGACCTTTCTGATGATGCCATTGCTAAAGCACTGGTAGCAGTATAAAAATTGTACAACCCCTAAAACAGGGATCTTGGGGATAAGGGAACAGATTTACTTTTGGTCCAGTAATCCCAGTATTAGGAATCTACACTGAAAATAAACTTCCATAAATGACACATGCATAAAATTATTTATTGCCACATCATTTGTAGCAGCAGAAGATTGGAGACAACCCACATGTCTATCAATAGAGGTCTGATCGTATTACTGGAACTCCCATACAATGGAGTACTGTGCAGTCCTTTACAAACAAGCCAGGATTGTGTCCATGTGCTCATGTATAGTGATGAAAAAAGGTGTGGAAAGGTTTATAAGTGGAGAAATTGGAAATAAAGAGTGGATAAAAGTTGAGAGTATAGGAAACAAAGAGCTTATATTTGTATTATTATTTATTAATGTATTATTTTTTTAATATATATTATTGATTTTTTACAGAGAGGAAGAGAGAGGGATAGAGAGTTAGAAACATCGATGAAAGAAAAACATCAATCAGCTGCCTCCTGCACGCCCCCTACTGGGGATGTGCTTGCAACCAAGGTACATGCCCTTGGCTGAAATCGAACCTGGGACCTTTCAGTCCGCAGATCAACGCTCTATCCACTGAGCCAAACTGATTTTGGCTATTAATGTATTATTTTCCATATAAACAACTGTATAAACCTATGTTTACCCCACCCTGTATGTACTTACTTGCTTATTGTGCTAAAAAAAAATATTAGAAGGATAAAACATTAATAAAAATGATTACTTGGGATGAGAAATAAAAGCCTGGCCTTTCTGAGTACCTCTTTATAGAGTTTTGACTTTTAAACCATTGATACTTTATTCAGATTGAAAAAAATAAATTTAAAGAGGGGAATGAAAGCAAACAGATCAATTTGAAATCATGAAATAATGAACTTAATTTTTAAATTCTTTTTCTTTTTCTCTTTTTAAATGAACTTAATTTTATGTAAAGTTGGTACTATACACACAGAAAAGAATTATTTTCAAATGACTTTTGAGCATAGTACTCTTTAGTGGGATATAGTTTAAAGCCAACCCAAATAAATTTAAAAGTTGCAAAGAAATCTTAAACTAGTATGCAGTTTAAAACCATTTTATGATATTTTAGGATAAAACAAGTAAATTAATTAGGAACTAAGATTTTCATTGTAAAAGCAAATATGATACCAAATAAATTATTTTTAAAACTCTATAGTAGGGGTGTCGAACTCAATCAGAGAAGGGGCCAGAATCTAAAATCCAGCCTAAATCTCGGGCCGAATGGTTTACTGAACAGTCATAAACTGTCATTGTGATGGAAACGCAGCGGAGTGCAGTGATGACAGCGCGATGCGGGCCACATTGCAAGGCCTGGCGGGACGGATTTGGCCCGTGGGCCTTGTGTTTGACACATGTGCTCTATAGAGATACATCACAGACTAAATAACTCTTGAGTGTCATAGAAGAGAGTCCTGTTCATTCTATACATAGCATTAAGGAAAGAGCTAAAGATACTTCACAACTATAAACATGGATACACTTAAAATGAACAAAGGTCTGGAAAAAATGTGTAATGTGATTGCAGTGTTAATGATAATATGAATTTTAGCATTTTAGTGTTTTTAGAACTTTTTGAGTGTTCAATTCTAAAGTTGCATTAGTTTATAACTAACCTTTATTTTTATGAAAATGATATTAAAATGAATAGTCAACTGGTGATAAAATTTATGTACAAAATGTTTAAAGTATATTTATTCACTGTTTTTTCTTTTATTCTAGTTACTCTTTCTGGAAATGGAGAAAATGGTAAGACACTTTTAGTCTCAGTTTAAGTAGACTACTTATGGTATCATAATTGCAACCTACCTACTTTTTATTTAATGATGACTATTTGTGCTTTTATTTTCAGAAAGATATATATATATATTTTAAGCTTAAGTAACTAAAATGAGATGTAATACTGGGTTTATTTCTATATATTCAATATATTTTTCTTTGCACTATTTGTAAGTTGTTGTTTTGTAAGGCACCTAGTGCCCAAACTTCTTTGAGATATACAATATATATATATATATTTCTGCCTTGTATAGTTTTCAGAATTCTGTAGTAATAGTTTAGATATTTAATAATCAATTTTAGCTAGGGTGGAGGAAGGGATTTTCTTTTCTTTTGTTATGCATTTCTTAAAAATAGCACTGACAATTAGTTAAATAGGCAGGCTGTAAAAATGAAGATTGTTAGTTCATTTTGAAAGGGAATTAAAGTTTTTATAATGACTAGTCAATGACAGTATTTTGAGGAAAATATTTGCTCAAAATTCACGAGATAAAATAAAATTTTCTACCTATTGAGATCAAATTTTAAAAATAAAATTTGATTTGAGATATGGAAATCCAGAGGATATCTAGAACAGTTGCATAGCTAGAAATTAATATTTATCTTTATTACTGGAAATAATTAGGCATTCATTATGTAAATCTCAAGTTGCTTTTGAATCTGGTTTCTCAGTAACAGAACAAACTCAATTTTGGTAGGCATACTTTTCTTCCTTTAAATCAGTACTGCTGCCGAAACCGGTTTGGCTCAGTGGATAGAGTGTTGGTCTGTGGACTGAAAGTTCCCAGGTTCGATTGCAGTCAAGGGCATGTACCTGGGTTGCAGGTACATCCCCGGCAGCTGGTCAATGTTTCTCTCTCATCGATGTTTCTAGCTCTCTATCTCTCTTCCTTCCTCTCTGTGGAAAATCAATAAAATATATATATTTTAAACTTTATTTAAAAAAAAAATCAGTACTGCTTTCCATATGTTGAATACGCACCTACATAAAGCAGAGAATTTCTGATTCTTACAACAGCATTTTTAATTGTATCATTATTTCTCATTATTTCTTGGGGCTATTTTCCCCATGTCTTCCAAAGAGTGTTTTGATGAAGTTTCTTTGTTTGCTTATTGGTCTTTAATTCAGATATAGGTGATATTTGAATCAGATATTTTGATTTATAGGTTCAATTTTTCTTTCAACTTTGGTTTAATTTGCTTAGTTAACTTTTACTGTATATATTTCTTCCAGCATATATATGACCAGAAGTTTGTTATTAGCAATCAAATTAATTAAAACTTATTTAAAAGCAATATTTTCTATTCTTTACATCATATTTTAAAAAATATATTTTTATTGATTTCAGAGAAGAAGGGAGAGGGAGAGAGAAATATCAATGATGAGAGAGAATCATCTTATTGGCTGCCTCCTGCACTCCCCCTACTGGGGATCGAGCCCACACCCAGTTATGTGCCCTGCCTGGGATTCGAATCATGACCTCCTGGGTCATAGGTTGATGCTCAACCACTGAGCTACACCAGCCAGGCTACATCATAATTTTGATGCTGGAGGGGCAAGTTCCTAGTGGCAACTCAAACCCTGAGCCAAGAGGGATTTGGGCTTGGAGCAGAAAATAATTCAAGATTAGCCCTAGCCGGCTTGGTGCAGTGGATAGAGTGTTAGCCTGTTGAAGGGTCCCAGGTTTGATTCTGGCCAAGGGCACATGCCTGGGTTGCAGGGTTGATCCCCAGTGGGAGCTGTGCCGGAGGCAGCCTGTCAAGATTCTCTCTCATCATTGATGTTTCTGTCTCTCTCTCCTTCTCCCTTCCTCTCTGAAATCAATAAATATATTATAAAAAAAAGAAATGAAAAAAGAAAAAGAATTCAAGATTAGATCCAGAGAAGAGGTAAAAGTGGAAAAGCAGGTTTTATTGAGCAGAGGGGACAAGTAAGAAAGGCCACTCCACTGGACTCTCCTCGCCAAAAAAGGAAGATAGACCTCCAACCATCTTTAGAGATTGATTTATATCTCTTTGTAGTTTCTATGGAAAACTGCTGGTATGAGGAAACAGAGTGGGAAAAGGTTGAGATTAACTCTAACCTTTACAAGGTATGTTTTTGTGGTATTGTGTTTTCCCTTTATGGTATGAGTAAATGATAAGATATGAGTGAGTAGCTGTTAATCAATCTTCGCAGGAATTTTCTTTATCCAGAGGCTCTTCAAGATCTGCTTGCATCTCCAGTCAGCTGTTTCATGTCAGCGCGTAACAGGCCCCTGACTTAACTTTGTTTGACTTTAATTTATTATAGCTCTCATACCCCTTTCCTATATCAACTTGATAATAATCTGTTAAGTACTTATATTCTCGGCATCATGTTGAGAGATTTGTTTTACCTGTTTTGTAACTGGTAAAAGCAAAAATTTTTTAAAGCAAAAGCCATTTTGATTTTGTTCTTATGGAGAGTTGAAATATTCTAAAAATATGTTAAACCTTTTAAAATATATTTTTGGAGTATATTGCTTTATATTCTGGCCTTAGTGTAAATAACTAAACGACCAAGTTTAAAGTAATTCTAGGTTACCATTTATTTCAAAGCTATATGATATTATGTAGATGAGGATTAACAGATTTGATTGAATATCAGGCCAGGCAAAAGTAAGTGAAGTGAGCTAAGAAATTGACAGTTGGTATAACAGTAGGAGACAGCTCCAGCATGCTTTTCCAAAGGAAAAAAACAAGTAAAGGAATTATATTGAATCCACTGTGTAGAACATGGGGTTCATTCTAGAGGGAACAGAGATGATACAAAGTACTGATTTTGAGAATCCAGGATTTTCAATAAGAATGACAATCAGTTTTAATGGAAGTGAAAATAAGGCAAATTTGAACATAGGAGGATGTTGTAATTAGGATTTTATCTTGACATCAAATATTGGCTTGAAGTAGGCTGCGACCACCATATGTTGCTAGAGGTAGACTGGTCTAGAAATAGATTCTTGCTAAATTGCAGGAAATGAATTTTGGTGACTTGTGTCTAGGATGATTTGAGCAATAATGACAAGATTTAGTAAAGGGTGGGCTGGGTATAGATGCTCCTGAAGGGGCTGCGACACTACTTCATCCTCAACCAGATGGCTCAACTCTGTCTTGCTTTGGAAAGAATCCAGCCTTTGAGGCTGCTTGTTCCCACCAAACCTAGCAGGAGGGCCAGGACCCAGAGCTGCCCTGCCATTAGCCCAGCATCCAAGACTCCAGTATAGTCTCTGTTCCCGTGAGTCCTGCAGTTGAGTTTTGGACCACCTGGCTGCTTAAGAGAGAGAGCATGAGGCAGATTTGTTAATCTTTGATGCATTTCTTTTGAGTTTGGGAAGGAGTAAGCTTTCTTTCAAGTTACCTAATCTCATTCCTAGATCTTCCTGGCTCAATGCTAGTGCTCCTCCCCTTTTGTTGTTTTTTCCCCTCCCCTTTATGGTTGCCAGCTTTGCTCCTACTGCGCATGCACTCATAGTAAAAGGACCTCCCCCTGCACCATCTTGGCTTTCACTGGGATTATCCCGTATTGTTTAACACCCTCTCCCCGCAGCCCTCATACATGAAAAAAACTGACAAGGGACCCAAGGAGACTGGAAAAAGGTCTTTCCCGCCTGCTCCAGAATTAGTACTGACCGTGCCCTGGAGTTTCGGTGAAGCTATAACTTCTTTACTGAGTCAGGTTTAGCCAGTTTTGCTCCCTTTCTCTTTTGTTAATACCCTAACTAGCTACCTATCCTAACACGGGAGATGGGAGAAAGCAAGGGGAGGCCGAATTGGGTAAAAAGTAAAATGATAGACCCGTGCTTCTTTTACGTAGGTGAGTACAGGATAGTTAACAATTAACACAATATCAATGAAGGAATTTGTGGTCTTTGTCCTGACTTATTGCTTATGCCCTGAAGGGTCCTGAAAAGGGAAATTAAAAATTACCCTGAGCCGAGACCGGTTTGGCTCAATGGATAGAGCGTCGGCTTGGAGACTGAAGGGACCCGGGTTCGATTCCGGTCAAGGGCATGTACTTTGGTTGCGGGCATATCCCCAGTGGGGGGTGTGCAAGAGGCAGCTGATCGATGACTCTCTTTCATCGATGTTTTTAGCTCTCTCTCTCCCTTCCTCTCTGTACAAAATCAATAAAATATATATATTTTTTAAAAATTATCCTGAGCCGAAACCGGTTTGGCTCAGTGGTAGAGCGTCGGTCTGCGGACTGAAAGGTCCCGGGTTCGATTCTGGTCAAGGGCATGTACGCTGGTTGCGGGCACATCCCCGGTGGGGAGTGTGCAAGAGGCAGCTGGTCGATGTTTTTCTCTCATCGATGTTTCTAGCTCTCTCTCTCTCCCTTCCTCTCTGTAAAATATCAATAAAATATATTTAAAAAAAGAAAAAATACATCCATGGGAAAGAAACACTGATTGGCTGCCTCCTGCACATCCTGTACTGGGGATTGAACCTAAAACCCAGGCATGTGCCCTGACCAGGAATCGAACCAGTCATCACTTGGTTCATGGGTCGACGTTCAGGCAGTGAGCCACACAGGTTGGGCATGCTTATGTTTCTTAGTGGGTTTGTGATGTTGAATTCTAAACTTAGAATTTAAGTACCTGGTAGATAGTTCTTGCTTCTTGTGGAAATCATTCTCATTTCTTCCAAATAGAAAAACTACAGAACCCAATAAAGCTTTAAGTTATGTCAGTGAGTTAATAGTTGGAGATAAAGATATTGTAGTCTGACACTAATTTATTTGGGAAAGAGTTATGGCAGAAATTCAAAGTGGCTGAAATTTTTGGTTACCCTGCATTGAAAGGAGAGTGAAATTTAGGAGATCTTTCTGAACAATCCAATAATTGAATTTTTCTAATGTACTGATTATTTGCTATGATATGAACTTCCTTTATTTTCAGTTCAAATTTAATGTTCATAGTAATGGAACATTTATTTAATATTCATAGTAATGGATTTATTATTCATAGTAATGGAATCTGGTTTAAATCATTGAAAATCTAACTTTTAGGAAGAGCTTGAAATGCAACCAGTGAAAGAGGTGTTTCAACTTATATCTTCAGCAATTCAATCAAATCAAATCTAATCTCAGACTAATATTACAGAAACTATAAACCATGCTGTTAACTCTTAAATACAGAATGCTCCTTCATATCTGTAATATTATATCATGCAGATAAAGGACTTTATATATTTTATATCTTTAGTGTGTTTTTATTGTTTTTTATTAGTTAAAACTTTGACTCTAAATATTGGTTTTAATGTAATGCTTTTTCTTGTTTTCACCAGAATTCAATGAAATATTATTTGTTTTTATTTACCAGGAAAGGCCGTTGCTTACCTTGTGGCTTTTCATCTGTTCTTTGTTATGTTTGTATGGTCCTATTGGATGACAATTTTCACCTCACCTGCTACCCCATCCAAAGAGGTAAATTTAATGTTGGTAAATTGCCAAATACTGTAACTATGGAATTATTTCTCTTGTGTTACCTTTGTGAAAGCTTTAGTATATCATGCATTTGTTCTGTTTCCATTCATGGAACTTACTTGGTAATTCTGCATTGTGGATGAGTCATCAGCCTATTCTCAGATACAACTCTACTGACATAGCATAAAGATTGAAGATGTGTTAAAGTTTAGCTATACTAATATTCTTCTGCCATGTTATATTTTCTTAAAGACATATTATATTACTGGAATAAAAAAATCTTAAGGGACAGAATGAAGTTAGAAAAGTAGGTTTTATTTTTAGAAATCTTTTAACATTTATATTTCTCAGATCCCAATGAGTATGTTACAACTGAAAAGTGATTTGATTGTGGGAACAAATTGTCTAGGGTATTGCTTGTGACACCTTAATTTGGGTAGTGTGTCTTCTACTTGAAGGTCCTACCTGAAAGATAATATTAGTGAATGTTTACATAGAGTAAGTTTCAAGACCAGTGTGTCTCCTCTTGATATCGCCTGAATTCAACTTTACCTGTAATTTAATATAGCTAGATGTTTAATAATATATTCCCTAGAGTTAGGATCATCTGAATGTGGTTTTTCTGCTGTAACATATTATGTAATGAATCTGAGCCTTAGTTTCTCATTGGAAAATGAAGTTAATAATTGTGCCTGTCTCTGTAGGATGTTTTTGTGAGAATTGAGATTCACTCATATAAAGCTTTTTATTTAAATTAATAAATCTTTATTGTTCATATTATTACAAATGTACCTCTTCCCCCCCCCCTCCGTTGCTCTCCTCCACCAGGTTCCCACCCCACCCTCTGCCCTTTCCCCACTCCCCATTGTCCTCATCCATAGGTGCACAGTTTATGTTCAGTCTCTTCCCACACCTCCCTCTTCCCTTTTCCCCAAGAATTGACAGTTCACTCCCCTTCCATACCTCTGATTCTATTATATTCAACAGTTAATATTGTTCATCAGATTTTTTTTAAATTTTCTTGGTTGTTAGATTCACTTGTTGATAGTTACGTATTTGTTGTTCATAATTTTTATCTTTATTTACTTTCTCTTCCAAAAGAACCTCCTTCAGCAATTCATATAATTCTGGTTTGGCGGTGATGAACTCCTTTAACTTTTTTTTATTAGTGAAGCTCTTTATCTGGCCTTCGATTCTGAGTGATAGCTTTGCTGGGTAGAGTATTTTTGGCTGTAGGTTCTTACTATTCATCACATTGAATATTTCTTGCCATTTCTGTCTGGCCTGCATGGTTTCTGTTGAGAAATCAGCTGACAATCGTATGGGTGCTCCCTTGTAGGTAATAACTGTTTTTCTCTTGCTGCTTTTAATATTCTCTCTTTGTCTTTTGCTCTTGGAGTTTTAATTATGATTTGTCTTGGTGTGGTCTTCTTTGGATTCCTTTTGTTTGGAGTTCTGTGCGCTACCTGGACTTGTAAGTCTAATTCTTTCACCAGGTGGGGGAAGTTTTCTGTCACTATTTCTTTCAGTATGTTTTCGATATCTTGCTCTCTGTCATCTTCTGGGACCCCCATAATTGTGATGTTGGTTTGCTTGAAGTTGTCCCAGAGGTTTCTTACATTATCTTCAACGTTCTGGATTCTCTTGTCTTCTTGCTTCTGCGGAGGAGTGTCTTCTGGCTCTTTATGTTCCAAATCTTTGACTTGATTCTTGCCATTCTGTTTTTAGGACTCTGTATAATATTTTTTTATTTCAGATAATGTATTTTTTTTTATTTCTTGTTGATCCCTTATTATTTCTTGTTGATTCCTTATTAATTCTAGTTGATCCCTTTTCATATCCTCAGAGGTCTTATTGACCTTTTCTAGGAAATTCTTGAAAAACTTTATAAGCGTAGATTTGAACTCTATATCCAGTCGCTTTTTGTCCTCCATTTCTTTCGTTTGTGATCTTTTTCTTGTCTCTGCATTTTCACAGCTTCCCTGAGTTGGTAGCCTTAAAAGTCTCTGTTCTGCCTGGATGGGGCGGAGTTTCAGGGTGAAGCCTACAGCCTTGACATCCCTCAGCCCCGCCCTATGGGGCTCTTGAGTCTCAGTATTCCTTAGGGTCCTTCAGTACTCATTGTAAGCACCTCTGAGAGAAAGGTGCCCTCGATTTTTGCCTGCTACCAAACAGTCTAGGCTCTCCCCCAATTAGCCTGGAACTGGGATTCAGTTCAGTTGGAAGTGGAGTTGGAGGTGGCATTCAGAATAGTCTGGAGCTTTTGTCTCCTTCCTGCCAGGGCAATCCCTCAGCACAGCCAACCATTCGTTCTCTGCGCGCAAAGTACGCGCCTGGGTCCCTGGGGTCTGACCTAGAACTGGGGTTCAGAGCAGTCGGAACTGGGGCTCAGCACAGTCCAGAGCTTTTGTCTCCTTCCCAGTGTAGGGGTGTCGAACTCAATCAGAGAAGGGGCCAAAATCTAAAATCCAGCCTAAATCGCGGGCCGAATGGTTTACTGAACAGTCATAAACTGTCATTGTGATGGAAACGCAGCGGAGTGCAGTGATGATAGCGCGGTGCGGGCCACATTGCAAGGCCTGGCGGGACGGATTTGGCCCGCGGGCCTTGTGTTTGACACATGTGCAGTAGGGCAATCTGGCAGCAGAGTCAACAGTCCGTCCTCTGTGCACAATGTGCGCGACTCCAGGGGCTCTGCCTTTCGCCGCTCCCCTGGGATTCCGCCTCACAGCCCCAGCTCCCTCTGTACGAGCCTGGGTTCCCAGGGTCTGGCCTAGAACTGGGGTTCAGTGCTGTCAGGCCTGGGGTTCAGCACAGTCTGGAGCTTTTATCTCCTTCCCACTAGGGAACGCCAGCCAGGCATTCAGCCTCCCTCCTCTCCAGCTCCGTCCTCTCCGCGCGCCGTGTGTCTCCGTACCTTAGGCTTTTACAGCTCCTCCACTCTTCCTTCTGGTTTTCCTCTTTCCTTCTCATTGTAGAATTTCCAGTCAGTTGACTTTCCTGTAGTTCTGGGTAATGTCCATTTTATATTTTAGTTGTATTTTATTGAAATTGTTGTGTGTGGCTGCAGTTAGGTGTTTACCTGTGCAGCCATCTTGGATTCTCGCTTTTTTTTTATGTAAAGCTTTTGATATAGTACCTACCACATGATTAGTACTCAGATATCAGCTGATGATGATAATGGAATTATTTCTCTTCATAATTCATTAAATTTATAGACCAGATGTTTAAAATTATCAACTTATGTTTAAGTTTTTATAAAATAACATACACTATTATGCAGAAAAATATACATACCATAAGTGTACATTTAATGAATTTTCACAAACTGAACACTTTTGTGACCACCACCAGGTAAGAAGCAGAACATTATCAGCTTCCTGTAGCTTCATGCTCCCTTTCACTGACCCACTTCATGGGAAGCCACTTTAGTAGCACTGATTAATTTTGCCTAGTATTTCACATAGATGGGGTCATATAGGACATATACTTGTGTGTGTTGCTTCTTTCATTAACATCCTATTGGTGAGGTTTGTTTGTACTGTGATATACAATTGTGGGAAATTCATTCTCATTAGTCAGTATTTAGTTGTGGTCTATAACACAATTTATATACCTAGTCTGCTGTTGATGGGCACAGACATTTGGGTAGCTTCCTGTTTAAGGTTACTACAAATAGTGCTGCTGTGAACATTCTAGTGCATGGAAAATGCATATACATACACACATACATATGTGCATACATATATAGTTTTTTTTGATAGATGCGTAGGAGTAGAATTGCTAGATCATAAGTTATATATACTTCATAATCTATACTAATAAAAGGGCATATGCTAATTAGACAAGGTTGACTGGATATCTTCCAGATGTCCAACTTCCTTCAGGACAAAGCCGTAGTAGTGGGGGCTGAGGCAGAGGCTGTTAGGGGCGATCAGGCTGGCTGGGGAGCAAGCAGTTAGGGGACGATCAGGTCAGAAGGGGAGGGCACTTTGGGGCGATTAGGCCGGCAGGGGAGGGCAGTTGTGGGCAATCAGGCTGGCAGGGGATTGGCTAGGCAGTGATCAGGTCAGCAGGGGAGTGGTTAGGGGGCAGTCAGGCAGGCAGGTGAGCGGTTAGGAGGCAGCAGCCCCAGATTGTGAGAGGGTTTTCTGACTGGTTTAAATCAGCAGTTGGACATCTTCCAGTGGGTCCCAGATTGGAGAGGATGCAGGCCATGCTGAGGGACACCCCCGTGCCTCTCCCCCTTTCCCTGTGCACAGCTTTTGTACACCAGGCCTCTAGTTAGTAGATAAAGCTGTTGTTGGGTTGTTGTGTTTTTTACCCATTTTCTTATTGTGTGCTCTTAAGGAAGGGGTATTATAAAACATTAATAAAACAGTGTTTCTTCAAGTAAATTCTTCATTTGGTAATAGTTGGCCCTTAAATTTATGCCATCCATATCTAAATCTCTAAGTTGAAAAGGACCTGATTTTATTTAATCAATCACTTGTTGTGATGGCTGTTGTAACATAGCATGCTTGAGAGTTTAGTTTTCATTATGGGAAATAAAAATAGAATAAGAAAACGTAATTGGTAATACTTTTAGGAAGCAGAATGTTATAGAGGTTAAGAACTCAGACTAGCTCCAGACTTTCCAGGTTCAACTCTTATCTCCGCCCCTGAGCAGATGTGTGATGGCAGAGACTTCGCTTAGCTGTCTGTACTTCAGACTTCTCCTCTGTAAAATGAGGATGACAGTACTACATACGTATGGGATTGTTTTAAGGGTTGAATCAAGTAACATGTGTGATTAATAAATGTATAGTAATATATAATTAACTATATTACTATATATATAGAGAGAGGCCATGCCCCCCAAGACCCAAAATTCATGCACTGGGGTCCCTCAGCCTGGCCTGCCCCCTCTCACAATCCAGGAAGCCTTAGGGGCAGGAGAAGATCCAGTGATCAGGGGAAGGCGATGCCCCATCACACCTATGCTGCTGCCATTGCTGGCA